TTGGGAGGAACTGGTAGCAAACTCTGGAGAAAAGAGGTGGGAAGAGTCGAAGCCCTGGGATTGCATGTGTGAAGTCTGCAATTAATCAGAACGTCCCCGGATTTGGGACAGGGGCCGCATAAACTTGCCCTCAGCAAATGGGATCACAGGAGTTTGCGTCCCGGGGGAAGTGTGGGAGGGCAGCCCTGTAGGAAATAGGTCAGAATTTTTAGTGGAAACTAAGGAAGGGATGATATTTAGCTGTGACCATACTGATCCCCATTGCTCATCTGTGTCCCAACTCCTTTTATGTGAAAAATCCCCACGGTGCTCACGGCCAGAGCGCACTCACTGCGCCTCCACGCTCAGCCTTTGCTGGCAGTGCGCACTTATGGCACACTCCCCAAAGATGCAGTTAATCAGGAAATCCTCCAAACCAGGACATCCCCCAACAAACAACTTCCTCTGCCTTCTATGTGATGGGCGTGCTGCACCGTGCCGTGATTCACTGGGCAGGCATGTCCTACTCCATGGTGTGCAGAGCATCCCTCCTCTGAGATCTTTGCTTCCATCCCTTTGGACAGCCCAGTTGCTGAATCTAGCTTTGGCTCTGATGACTGAGCGTGGCTTAAAGATGTTGCATTTTCTCTTCGGTTGGCGCTGGGTCCTGAATTAAATGGTCTTTAAGATCCCTTCCAGCCCAACCCAAGCTACTCTTGTCCTGTGCAGAAAAGAGCAGTGATGGATTCCTTATTCAGAAGCAGCTATTCTAATAGCACCTTCCAGGAAAAATGAATAGCTTGCAATTTGAAGGAACAGATTTATCACTTCAATTTTAATGGAGAGGAAATCATTTACAGGGCCCTTCCTGCCATTGTTAGGTATTTTCCATGGCTTCCAAATCAGGTCAAGGCTTTGGTTGGTGCCACGGCCCTTTTCTTTCAAGAGGCAGAAAATTCCCCTCGTGTCAGAGAGGAGAGAGGATGGCAGGCTGGTTGAGTGGGAATTCCTGGAAGGGGAAGAGGTCCAGGCGAGCACTCTGCCAGGAGATGACTTTGCTGAGAGTGCCAGCAGTCGTGGCCAATGCTAGCCATGGTGATGGGGTCGGTCCCCACACCACTCATCCCATGAGGGCACCTCTTGCTCCCATCATGCATCCCGTGTGTAGCCTGACTCTAAAAGCATTTTTTTCTGGATGTGCTCAATGATGGCATATGCAATCCTTTGAAGCACCAGAGCATGGAGTCGGCACAATGAAATTGAAATAAATACATCTGCATCTCTGTGCTGTCCCAGACTTCCCATGTCTTTAGCAAATGATCCATCATATTCATGGATGAAAGCCTGATTGTGACACATTGCAAGCATGATTTTTGTGTGTTTCTGGAAGTACAATATTTGTTTATTTTTTCATCCTGCCTCTAGCCACAGTATTTCTGCTGCTGTCATGCAGGGAGATGGCTGCATCTTCCATAAATCCAACCCCACCCATCGCTTCCCACCGCCTCAGAAAACAAATCCCACCCTGAGCTTGGGGTGCAATAAAACAAAGCAAAGCTGCCGGCATGCACTGCCAGCCTAACGACCTGTTTGCTCAGCCCAGGCCTTCTGCCACCGTTTGCTTAAGATAAGGAGGGGTGGAGATGTTTCTTGAGGGCACGAAGGCTCTTGAGACAAATCTCATGTGGTCTGATACAATCAGATCATTTTTTTTCCTTCTCCCATTGCCCCAGCCTTGTTTTTCTTTCCATCTGTCCTGCTTTTCTCAGCCTTTTGTTTCTTTCACTGTTGGGTCACCTTTTAATGCTCGGCTGTCTCAGAGCTGTGAACATCTTCTGCAGGTCTGAGCGGGTTTATGGGGTGAAGAAGGTCTGGGAGTCAGGCTGTGTTAGGCACATGTGAGCACAACAGAGATGAAACAGTGAATCATAGAATGGTTGTGTTGTATTCAAAGAACCTTGAATGTCATAGAACCATGGAATGTCTGGGCTGAAAGAGACCCCGGAAGATCGTAGAACCATAGAATCACAGAATGATTGTGTTGAAAGGGTCCTTGAAGATCGTAGAACCGTGGAATCACAGAATGATTGTGTTGGAAGGGTCCTTGAAGATCGTAGAACAGTGGAATCACAGAATGATTGTGTTGGAAGGGTCCTTGAAGATCGTAGAACCGTGGAATCACAGA